GAAGTGTCTATTTCAGAAGACCTCATGCTACAAAGCAATGATAACCATGCCAGGTGTCCGAATAACTCCTAGGACATCGAGCGGCAAGCAGCCCCAGTGCCTCCAAGTAGGAGAATGGGACCTTAACTCAGATGAGAGTCCTTGGGTGGTGGGGAGGATAAAGATAGTGGATATGTTGCTGAGATGCTGCTGGCCACATCAGAACAGAGGCTGTTCTAGGGAAAGGATGGATACCAAATGTGGATATGATCTGCTATTGTCACACACATTCCTGCTACAGGCAATACGAGGTCCAAAGAAAGCATGCTTTATAAATGAAAAACATTGATGGTCTAATTCTTACCTTTGATTTGTATGCAAATGTTGTTATGGATTCTAAGTACCTAGTACAAGGAACAAGAATTTCTAGGTTCTAATCCTGGAATAGGCACAGATAAACAGATATCTGCTAGTGGAAAATATCAGGTGCTTGGAAATTCAGAGCTGACTGTTCATAACTAGGAAGTACCTATGTGAGTACTTAGTATGTGCCCAGAATTAAATAATTTGAAGATGCACACAGCAGGCAGGTCAAACAAATATCAATGTAAAGAAAGGTAAGTAGGACACAGGAAAAAGACCCAGAGGCTCCACGGGAAAGAGAAGCAGCCCAGCCAGGCTGCATGAGACATGGTCCCAGCCCACAAGAAGCACACAAGGCAGTTGTGCCCTGCCTCTGCTCTAAGTTTCAACTGTAAGCCACATTATCCCTCCTAGGCCCACACATCTGTCTCATTTGATTCTCCCTCCCTCCCTGTGTCTCAGATTACTGCTCTGCCCGGGGTTACCTCTGTTACTGGAGGGTTTATATCCTTTTCAAAGCAGAGTGGCTGTGGTGACCCAGAGCTGAAGTGCCTGCCTGACATCTGTGGGTATACCTCCCTTAGCCCACTCAAGTCAATCACAAATCATAAGGGCCAACCAGAGAGATGATGTATAGACAGAAGGCAGCAAAAGCCAATTAGTTCCTGAGCTTGAGAGCAATTTGGGATCCAGGTAAATCTGGCACATAAGCAGGGACATGCCAAACCCACCTTTGGGAGATCTAGAAGGAGGCCAGTGCACAATATTCCTTTGCCCTGGCTTTCTGCCCAAATTGTTATCTCTTGGATATAGCTCCAAGTTGATCCTAGCAGTGGGTCAATTACAGAGCAAAGAACATTTTAATCCAGATCTTTACCTTCAAGCAAAACCCTAGCTAATCCAATCTGAACAAATGGGTATAACTTGTTAAAACCTGCCTAGATATATAATCTTTAACTTCCAATAACAGTTTGTTCCCAGAGCTGCTTTTCAGCCAGTATACACCATTATAGCTATATCAGGTATTCAAAAACTGAGCTGGGCATGATGGCATACAACTGTATTCTCACTGACTCATGAGACTGAGGCAGGAGGATCACAAGTTCAAAGCCAGCCTCTGCAACTTAGTGAAGCCTGCAAGACCTTGTCTCAAAATAAAATATAAAAAGGACTGGGGATGTGGCTCAGCAGTTAGGTGCCCCTGGAATCAAAAGGAAAAAAAATTAAAAGATTGTTATTCAAAATCTTTCACAATTAGCACCATTCTTTACTCTTCTTTCTACTTTTTTGTCCTACCCAACCTAGTTGCTCCATATTCCCAAACACTAAGTTTTCCCTGATGCTTAGTCTTTGTTTATGCTGTTTTTTTCCTCCCTGTTTTTTTCTTTTTCTGGAATCCATCAAAATAATATCAGCTCAGACAGGGGTTGTGGCTCAGTGGTACAGTGCTCGCCTAGCATGCATGAGGCACGGGTTTGATCCTCGGCACCACATAAAAATAAAAAATAAAGACATTGTGTCCATCTAAAATTAAAAAATAAATATTTAAAAAAGAATCTATCAGCTCCTCAGGATCTCTACAAATGTCCCCACTTTCATGAAATGGATTGAAAGCTATGCTCCATTTCCAGAAGCATCACGAAAAACATCTAGGTTCTACATTTGGAAAACTTGATGACTATTTCATAATCTGATTCTTTTATATAAACACATTGCTCTCATCCTAGATAGAAAGTAATAGAGAGCAGAAACTATATCATGGTCATCACATCTAAATGACTTAACACAATAGGTATGCATTAAATAAATATGTGTAAATAAGTGAGTGAACATCCCTAATTCTTTTGTCCAAGGGATCCATTTTCTATTTTTTAATGATTTTGGTTGTTTTTCTCGGAATGCTAGCTCAACTGTGGCTGTTATCTTTTTCTACATATGGAACCCAAATTGCACACCATACATATCTTAAAACTACTGGGTTATTTCATGAAGATGAAGCAGGAAGGAAGCATGCTCCCCTGTCATTACTTTACCACCCTGGAGTTTGTGACTGCCATCTCTCTGTACACTTCTTCCAGCGCTAGACCAATACGCCCCTCACACAGGGACAGGCAAATGACAGGTTCTGGGCAATGGAAGCTGGCCTTACAGATGACAGGCAAGCTGGTGGTAGAGTGAGTTGGCAGAGGTTGCTAGAAAGAGGAGGCAGAGTGGCTTTTTGGGAAGCAGGGCCAAGATGGGGTTCTGGTTGTCATGGTCAAGTGCCCAGAGTACAGTACTGAAAGGGGCAGTTTTACTACTCTTGTTGCCAATGATGTGGGGTGTGGAGGAGGGAATGTTAGCAACCTCTTTCCTATATCTTCTTTCCCAATTTCTTCTCCCCAACTCTCCCTTCAAAGAAATAGCTGTGAGCTGATAATAAGAGCTATAGGACAGGAAGGAACTTTGATGCAAAATGTCTGGGGTTTTTTAAACAACAAAAAAGAGATGGGGGGCAAGGTGCCAGAAACCACATCCACTGTCTAAATCTCATCCCATAAGGAAATCAAGGAAAGAGTTGAACACTTTGCATAGCAGATGGATTCCAGGGTTCTAGGAGACTGAGAAGAGGAAAGAAGAGATCCATCAGCACCCAGGGTCAACCTCTTGAAAAAAATTGCAGGGAAACAGAAAGCCAGTTCTGGAATAGGAAGTTGGGAGCATTTTTCTGGAGAAGGTTTGGAAGAAGAAAAAAAAGAATAAGAAAACCAAGTCAGATTCATCCACTAGTAGAACCCAACAGACCCAAGAACTGACTGCTTAGGAGATAAAAACTAGAAGCCAGAGTGTGAGATTCTTATCATGGCGAACAGGTTTTTGGTCTTGGAGGAGTAAGCACACCCGAAGTAAAAGAAAAGTAGGGATGGGGAGAAAGGAGGTCACTGACTTCGGAGTCACACACACACACACACACAAAAAAAAACTGCCTTCCTCTCTGTCTTTAATTTGTGCAGAAGATCCTAATGACTGTCGCATGAACAAAATGAAGGCCACACAGGGAAGGTGTATTCTGAGGAGAGAAGGGAGATCCCTCCCAGGTCTCCCACCTGTGTACACTCGAACAGAGCTCAGCTACTTGGGACTGAGTAGCCTTGTGTAGGTAGAGAGGTTCAAGGGAGGGAAGAACTAGCTATGAGAAGGCAGTCTGGGCTTATCAGAATTCTCCTAGGTAGAGCTGTGGGACTGTGGCTGAACACAGCTTTCCTCCGTATGTTTTGAGATCTCTGGGCCTGGAAGTGCTCAAGTGGCAAAGGTTATACAATATTAGGATCCAAACTAAAAGGGACCTTGGAGATCATTTAGACTAAATTTCTTTGACCTGAAAAACTGTCACTTTCTCCCTTGATTGCCCAAGTTACTTTGCTTGGTGACAAAGTCAGTCTTAACACAACCAGAATGATCTCCACTGGCACAGAGTAAGAGGTTAGGCCTTAAATATATATTTCCAACCTGAACCCACTCAGTTACTGTTCTTAGTAATTCCCTCTTTTTGGCCACAGGAGGAGGCAAAGCACCACACCCAACTCTGGGGAGAGAAGTTAACACAAATACAGGTCAGAGCATTTTCTCCGAGGTTTAAGGAAAGGGGAAGTGAAGCCATGGAATTCAATGAGCTAGAACTTTGAACCAGGGCCCGGCAGGCAGTTGAAGGGCACCGCACCATTCTGGGAATTTCTCCACTCCTTGTGGCTATTACATTGATCTTTTACTTTCTTAAGTCCATCAAAAGTCCATTGAAAGGCACTTCGGGGAGAGTCACACCTTTTGAAGTAGGGAAAGAGACTGTTTCCTCCCATTTTTTTTTTTTTAGGAGGAAATTGAGGCACAGAAACATCAAGTGACTTCGGTAAAGTTACAGATAGACATAATAATCTACCCACTACCGGGTCCACTGTGCTGTCCATCCTCTTCTGAAGTTTGCAGATTCTGTAGGTTTTGCAAGGAGGGCTTCAGAAAACTAGCAGGAGGTGACCTGAACGAGAAGTAGGGACTGCGCAGCGAGGAGGTGGGAAACTTGAGAGTACAGGCTGGGAGCCGGGTGAAGCATGGGATAGGGGAAGATGGGGTGGCTCTCCGAGGAATTATTCAAAAAGAACCCAAAAAGACACAGCAGGAGGGGAAACGCAGCGAACCTAAGACAAGAGGGTGGGCAAACTTTGGGTCCCTCCGACTGGAGCGCATGGCCTCGGTGGAGACCGCCGAGGGCATACTACAACCCAACCTCAAGCCCACGCGTGGACCGCAGGTGTCTTTCCCGCGGAGCTGCAAGCCTGGAGAGGTGGGAGGTGCCCCAGGTCTCAGCCAGCGTTTTGGCAGGGCAAACCTGGAGCCTCCTCGTGTCCTCTCCGAGGGGAGAAACGAGAAGCCCCGAGAATGTCCCGGCCCCACATGGAACGAAAGGCAGAGCCAGGCTCGGGAATTCGGAGGTCCGGCCCTGAAGCTGCTCCCCACCCGCGTCCGCCTCTCTCCCCCAGTAGCGCGGGGCGGCGCCGGGCACCTGGAGATGAAAACGAATTGGAAATCGAGTCCCATGTTGACGCGGTTCCCCACAACGCGCGAGCCACGGGTGCCTCCTCCTCCCACCACGGCGCTGTCCCTCGCCCCGCGGCGCTACTTACTCCGGTTCAGGGGGTTCCCGCCGACCTGGGCCGACGCCACCAGTTCCAGATACAGAGTCCAGAGCCCCACGGACACCACCGCGAGTACCAGCAGCAGCCGGAAGCGCCTCCGCAGCAGCTTGACCGGGCGCAGGAGCAGCAGGAGCAGCGCGGCCCGGGGGCTCCCCATGGCGCTGCGCCGAGGCGGCCGCCGCCAGCGCGGGCTGCTCCCCACCCAGCCTCCGCCCCCCGGCCGGGCCCAGCGCCTAGGGCGCCCGGAGCCCCAGCCCCAGCCCAGCGTCTCAGGGCTGCGCCAAGGCCGTCTTCCCCGGCCGCTCTCCAGCGGGGCTCCTGTTCATGCTCTGTGAGCCAGGGGTCTCAGGCTGCGCGGGCACCTCGAAGGTCTCCCTCCACAGCAAAGCCCGGCTCCTCCTCCTCCACTGAGTGTCCTCAAGGCTCAGCTCTCCACTCCACGCCTCTCCTTGTCGCAAGCTCGCTGCTGCCCTCCCTCCTCGTTCGCTCGCTCACTCGCTCGCTCGCTCTTACAAGCTGCCCAGAAGGAGGCTTCCCTAGGTGCCCGCCCGTCGCCTTCCTTTCCTCTCTCCTCCTCCAGCTCTGGCTGTTTCTCCCGGCTCTGGGCACTACCTCACACCCCACCTGTCCCGCCTCCGCCGAAGCCCCGCCCCCGGAGCGCAGGTGGGCTCCGCCCCTGAGGAGCCAAGGGAAGGGGAAGAGAGCCCCTCTGAGGGCACCCGGTGGAGGTGGAGCCGAAGTACCGATCCCTGGTGCCTCCGCGCACTGAGGATGGGTCGGGTAAAGGAAGGGTGAGTTATGATCAGGATTCTGTGACTGAGAGAAACCGAGTCACCGCCGAAGCCCTTGATGGTGTTCCTCCCAAGCAGAAAAGTGGAGCGGAGGCCCGTTCATATTGGGGTGATACCCATGGCTTTTACTTCAAAGCCTTTCATTGCCTACAATGACCCTGCTCCCTACTTAAGGAAACAGGAGTGGACATGATATGAGTTGGGACGCAATTATACACTTAATACAGCCCTACTTCTTTTTTCAAGGTCAGTTTTGAAGACCCTCCCTTCCCGGCTTCAGTCACATCTCTGAGAGGCCCTGAGGGAAACTCCAACAAGTAGTTTTACCCATTCAGGCAAAGAATATATGTTGGAAAGTTCCAAAGAAGAATTAAAGACCAAATAGGGGTATGGGGGCTGGGATTGTAGCTCAGTGGCACAACATGCTGAACAAGCCCCAGGCTCTGAGTTCAATCCCCAGCACCAAAAGAAGTCAAAAACCACAGGGGGATGGGAGAAGCAACTCTTAGGGCTAAAAAAGATCATTAAGATACCCTGCATTCCAGTTCTCTGTACTCCAATTCTCTGCCTTCAGTCAAATAAAGCATTATTATCTGATTTAAATGAGATAAAGTACAAAGGGGCAGAGTGAACTGCCTGAGGTCAGCAGTAGACTTTTTTTTTTTTCCACCCTCTCTCCTGGAGAAAAAGACTATGGAGAAAGGAGGAGGTCTAAAGTGTTCCTGGTGCCTGACACCATCTCCATCCTGCAGGTGATGTTCAAAGTGTCTGGTCACCTGTGTGATAGGAGCACAGCAATGAAAATGGATGCTGCCCTACCACAGGGCCTGGTTCAGGTCCAGGAGAGCCCCAAGGAGCCATAAAAAAAAAAAAAAAAAAAAGTGTTGCTGGATCAGGAACTGCAGCACATGTCTGTATTAACAGCAGCACTGGAGACTGAGGCAGGAAGATCACATGTTCCAGCCTAGCCTCAGCAATTTATTGAGGCACTCAGCAACTTAGCAAGGCTCTGTCTCAAAATAAAAAAATAAAAATAAAAGGGGCTGAGGGCATATCTAAAGGGTAGAGCATCCCTGGTTTCAATCCCAGAACCAATAGATAAATAAATAAAATGTACAGAAACACTTTTTCCTTCCTCTTTGGTGCAGGGAATTGAACCTAAGGGCACTCCACCACTAAGCTAAACCCCCAACCCCCCCCCCTTTTATTGGTACTAGGGATTGAACTCAGGGGCGCTCAACTACTGATCCACATCCCTACTCCTATTTTGTATTTTATTTAGAGACTGGGTCTCACTGAGTTGCTTAGGGGCTTGGTAAATTGCTGAGGCTGGCTTTGAACTCAGATCCTCCCGCCTCAGCCACCTGAGCCACTGAGATTACAGATATGCACTACGGCTCCTGGCTCCCTTTTTCTTTTTTGAGACAGGGTTTTCCTAAATTGCTGAGGCTGGCCTTGAACTTGTGGTTCTCCTGCCTCAACCTCCTGAGTCACTGGTACTACAGGTGAGTGCCACAGCACCTGGTTACTAATCTAACTTTTCCTAATTAGCCTCGTTAACTCCAAGCTCCCTTACCCTAATCCAGCCACCATTCTCTCTATCATCAGATAGTCTTGAGTTTTTCTTTCTTGTTGTCATTTCTTTGTTTCCTGTTACTGGGTTTTGAACACAGGGCCTCACACATTCTAGGCAAGTGCTCTACCATTGAGCTATATCTCCTGCCCTTTTCTCTTTCCTTTGAGACAGTGTTTCACTAAATTGCCCGAACTAGTCTTCTTTCAATCCTCCTGCCTCAGCCTCTGAATAGCTGGGATTATAGATGTGTGCCACTGTTCCTAGCAACAGTTTCCATCTTTATATGACCATATGAAACCTGCCCTCCAACATTTTTTTTGTTTTGTTTTTTTGTTTTGTTTTGTTTTATGACACTGGGGATTAAACCTACAGCCTCACCAATGCTAGGCAAGTGCTGTACTACCACTGAGCTACATCCTCATATTTTCTTTTTTAGTTAATCAAGATTTATCATTTCTTGCCAGATGTAGTGTGGCTCATGCCTGTAATATCAGCCACTTAGGAGGCTGAGGCAGGAGGATCTCAAGTTCAAGGCAAGGCCCTCAGCAACTGGGTGAAACCCTATCTCAAAAGGCTTTAAAAAAAAAAAAGCCTGTCACAGTGGAGCACCCCTATAATCCCAGCAACTCTAGAGGATAAAGCAGGAGGATCACAAGTTCAAAGTCAGCCTTAGCAACTTAGCATAGACCCTGTCTCAAAATGAAAAACACAAAGGGCTGGGAATGTGACTCAGTGGGTAACTAAAATTAAATAAATAAATACAAAAATAAAGGGCTGGGGATGTGACTCAGTGGGTAACTAAAATATAAATAAATAAATAAATACAAAAAAAAAGGGCTGGGGATGTGGCTCATTGGTAAAATATCTCAGGGTTCAATTAATCCTCAGTACCCTGCCAAAAAAAGATTTTTTTTTTTTTTACCCTTTCTCCAAGGTCTATTTCAGATTCTAGTAAGCTTTCTTGGATGAGCCCAGTCCTAAGCAACCCCTTCCTCTTTGGAACTTTTCATTTATCTCACCATTTGATACACTGAGAGTTAACTTTGAATGTTGGTCCTGATTCCTCAGTGTCATTGTAAGCCTTTAAGAGTGGGAACGTGTGTTCCCAATATGCGGCATAATATAGCACAATTTAGCACTCAGTAATGTTTGAGGATGAGGGTAACACTTTGAGCAAACATCTTCCAGAATATTCACTGGAGTTCTTAAGCAGAAGGTGAATCCAAAGGACAATTCTCTAATAGTAGCCCCTGGAAAGTGTCTCTGCGATGTTCCAAAACCCACAGACTTGTGCACTTTGCAAACCTTCCTTTCTTTCCAAAAGTCCAAAACAGGAGCAGACAATATGTGCACGCTTTGGCTGAGTCAAGTGTGAAGTGAGCAGGGCCCCTGTAAATAGTCTCTTTCTCACTCGGAGCAACACAACTGCATGTTGGGCTGAGTCACTTGCAGCACTTTGTCATGGAAACAGGTGGAGCCCCACCATGATTCTCTCCTCAAGACTGGCCCTCCTGAGATAATTCATGCAATCATTTCATTCTACCAAATGCTCAAAGTACCTCTTATGTGGGAATTGGGAGAGAGACAATACAGAGAATGCTGTTTAGTTGAGGAGAAAAGGTGGTCCGCAGAAAAATAAATCAGCCATTTTAAAGACCAGATTTCGGGACCAAACAGTGAAGTGTAAAGAAATTCAGAGGTGTAAAGAGATCACCTGATGTTTTGCTTTGGATCTGGAAATGGAACCAAGGTTCCATTTTGCTCCACAACTGAGCCATACCCTAACCCCTGTACTCTGTTCTTACCACTTGCCCTAGTATGGTGATGTTGGTTGGAGTGAGGTGAAGGTAAGAAGGACAAGAAATTCTTGTAGCTAGCTTTCCTCCTTTCCTCTTCTGTTCTCCTTCCTGCTATGGTGGCCAAGGATAGAATCCAGAGCCCCATTCAAGCAAAGCAGCAAAGCAAGCACTCTGCCACTGAGCCACACCTCCAGCTTCCACATCCTTTTTGTGTGTGTGTGTGTGTGCTGCTGGGAATTGAACCCAGGACCTTGTGAATGAAAGGCAAGCACTCTTCCAACTGGGCTACATCCCCAGCCCCAGTCCCTCTTTGACTTCTAATGATATCACAGCAGGGAAGGACTTAGACTTTGGCACACAAATTCCTTTCCTAATCAACTGAGTTCCAGAGCTAAGTATATGGATTGGGTTATTCATGATGGCCCATTTGGGTGGCATAATATAGTGTCACCAATGTCTATTCATTTTGTCAATTTAACCAGATACTCACTAGTTCTTCTGATGGTTTTCCTTCTCCTTTTGCCCTTCCACATTCAGCCCAGAATGACCCAGGGTCACAACACACCTGAAAGGAAAAATAATTCTCATTATTTTACCTCTAATGCTATTGGAAGGGGCTCTGATCTTTGGCTTGGCAAGGATATTGGAGTAAGGGCAGATCAAACCACAGAGATTCTTAGCATTCAGTTACAGGGGCTTGGCAAGATTTCTAAAGTGGGCCAAAGTTAGTATAAGCCAGACAATTCAGAATTCAGAAGGGAAAGGTGGACCTGAAGGAATAGCTCAGTTGTAGAATGTGTGCTTAGCATGCACAATGCCCTTGGTTTGATCTCCAGCGTGCGCGCGCGCGCGCGCGCACACACACACACGCACACACACGCACACGCACACGCACGCACACGCACACGCACAGTGTTGCATTCCTGCAATCCCAGTGACTCAGGAGGCTGAGGTAGAGGATTGCAAGTTCAAGGCCCGTCCCAGCAACTTAGCAAGACTTTCTACCTCAAAATAAAAAATAAAAAGGGTTGGGGGTATAGCTCAGTGGTAAAGTGTCCTTGGATTTAATCCCCAGTACCAGAAAAGAAAAAAAAAAAAAGGAAGAGAAAGGTGTCAAGTGACCTGTTGGAGGGGCAGCAAAACTGTTGTTCCTAGAGAGATTCTTATTCTAGTCTACACAGGAGCCAGAAGATACCAAGTAGCAACTGCGCAATGCCTTCTTTCTTGTTTTCTACATCATAAGGTTTTACCTGTGAGCTTTCAGAAAACTTTGTATTACCTGTGTGTTACTTCTTACAACCACAGCAGAACAGCAGGAAAGGAAATTCCCTCTAACAAAAACAAGCTTTGCAAGCCTTAGTATTTTCAAGGTGACCTGCACCAAGTTCACATGACCAGAAAGTGATAGGATCAGAACCAGATCCAGATCTGTAGTTTACTGGTCTTTCTTTCCAGAAGATCTCCCCATCTCTGGTTTGATCTTACATTAA